TTGTGCCTTCCGCGTCACCCTTGGGGCTGGTGCGTCCATACACGCATGAAAGGCGGGTATAGATTTGACACCCAGAGTAGATGGGACGAAGAAAACAAAATGAAAATAGGATCACATTTGTGAGTGTCACTTGCCCCTGGTTTAGTTTTATGCTCAGGTTTATACAATACTTCAAAGATGCAGCGACAGCTGTTGGCAACGGATATTAATGCTTCGAAGAAGTAAATGTAGTGATGCATCGAGCGGAGACCGGAATGGTTTTTAACGTAAAGATAGAAAACAACCCTTGCTGCCGTACCTGAAAAAAAAGGCGATCCGCCGAGCTCAGCTCAGCCTCTGGGAGGTTGAGCACGAATCGGACCTGTGGCGAGTAAAAGCGGGTGCATTCATGACAGGGAAGGAGGCGCGCGAGCGCGTGGGGTTCGGTAAACAAGTTCTGGCTACAAGCTGCCTCAGACCAACCTAGCCGACCTCCGTTGGCGACTTGGGTGATATTAACGTCCTCCTGGTATCTTGAACAGATTTTTCACACCCTGGACAACCCTTTCCGCCTTTCACGTGTGTGGGGGGCGCGGTCACGTCTTTGGTCTGTGATACCGATGGACCGCTGCAACGTACTGCTCTGTGCAGATAACGAAGAGCTGTCTTGCCGCCCGCTCTCTTGATCTCCCGACAGCTTCACATCACCGTTTGTAAGGAATGGTTCAGACAGAATGCATCCACAGCAGCCCCCCGACAGAAGCCAGAGAGAGAGCGAGGAATACAGCAGTGCCGACACACAAAATGGCACTGGAAGCACCAGACGGCTGTTTACAGCGTCGGGCGATCCACTTCACCTGGGTCAAAAACCAAAAGACGCTGGTCATCATGCGGTCGGTGATTCGAGGCATCATTGATGGAAGCGTGGTTGAAGTAACTACTGCTGTTTCTGTTCGGACCCCTTGTCAAAGAGCAAGAGATTTAACACACATGCCACATAATCAGGGCAGCCGTTTTCCAACGAAAAGCCGGCAGCTGGTGGAACATTCAGCGAAAAGAAGAACGAGCGAGGCTGTCAGAGATATTCCGGAGCGATGCCAGAGCGGGAAACCACAACACAAACACAAAACCCAGCCACTCATATTCCCTGCCAGGCAGTACTAGTCGAAGGTACATCATAGAACGCGATAAATATTAATTTTCTCTCTGATGAACCAGAGCGGGAACGGTACGCACGCCTTCTGTATAGACTCTAGAGAGGACCATCAACGAACCTAATGACGGAGAAACTACATTTCCGGTGACGGACGGGTGACGCGCGTTTTTTTTTTTTTTCCGTCTGCTGCTGCTGCTGCTTCTGCTGCTGCTGTGTTTTTCGAGGTAGGAGGCCGCGTTGAATCGATCGCTTCTTTCACCTGCACGTCATCCAGGGCGTCCTCTAGCGTGGGCACGCACACCTTCGCCGCCGCCTTCACCCGGCTGCGCGGGGGAAGCTGCTCCTGCGGCGGCGGCGGCGGCGGCGGCTGCTGCTGCTGCTGCTGTAGGAAGGGGGTCCCCCAGTTTTCATCGCGCACGTCGCCGAGACAATGTTGTACAAGTATCAAGCAAGCAAGCAAGCGACCAAGGGGGTGGGTGGGGCATGACGGGGACAGATGTGCTGCTCGGGGGACCGGGGCATGTTTGGGTGCATCTTGTGAAGCGTATGTACGTGGGAACAAAAAAAAAACAGCAGCTGAGGGGATGCACCATGCGCCAAGCAATGCTGCAACCAAACGCAGCGGCAGGCCTCCCGTGTGATGCGACCCGCGCGTTCGGGTTGGACGGTGGGCGGTGGGGGAAGTGCGCCGCAACAGCGCGGAGCGGGAACTGCGGACTCGCTGACTTTGTAATCGGACAATCATCAGCAGGGGCACCCAGAATGGGCGGGGTGTGTCAATTTCTTGTTCGCAATCGATCAACCAGAGTCGGGGGAGTCCTGGCGCACCTGGTGGCTCTGACCCGCCGCTGAAGCGCCCTTCTTTCTTCGGACAGCGGCCTCGCTATGCCCGCCTCCTCCTCCTCCTCCTCCTCCTCCTACTGCCCCCGCCACCGGTGACGGCTGCTTGTAGGCTTCATCCATATAAACGGGGTGCTGATGAGGAGCCAGCTTGACAAACTCGCTGTTGTTCGTCTATTGTCTCCTCCCGCTCCTCCCCCCGACACAAACTCGGTCCTCTCTCTCTCCTTCCCGTCCTCTCCCTGCCTC